CAAACACTTGTACCTAAATGACATGTTTGTAAATATCCATGGGTCAGGGAGAAACCAAAAAAGAAACTATAACTATTTTGGAATGAATGACAGTGAAAACACAGCACATCAATGCATTTGGGAGTTAGATAAAGCAGCACCTAAGAGAAGCTCCAGCACAGAAACTTTATTAGGGAGAAACATCTCACATTAGTGACTTTGCCTTCCATCTCAAGGACCCAAAACAGATGATCAAGTTAAAGTAACCAGAACAAGAGCAATAGCAATCAGAAGCAGAAATAAGTGAGATGCAAACTAGAAGCACTAATTGAGAAAACCGGCCAATGCAAATGGTGGTTCTTTGAGAAAATCAGTAAAATCGATTAATCTCTAGCCAGACATAGGAAAAAATGGGTATGCTTTGACCAGCCTTGTGCCAACATATTCAGTGACTTGGATGGAATGTATGCATTTTCTGAAAGAAGTTACCAAAGCTATAACTCAGTGGAGATTGGTGATCCTAGTAGCCTTCTACATGTAAAAATTGAATTTACAAATTTACAATTTTACTCCTCCTCTTGCCCACAAAAAACCTCCAGGCCCAAATGGCTTTACTAGTGAATCTTACTAAATATTTAAAGAAGAAATAGTGGCAATTCTATACATATTCTTCCAGAAAATTAAAAAAGAAGGAATACTTCACAAATCATTCTGAGAGGCCTGCATTACCCTAATAACAAAACCAGGCAAAAACATGAGAAGAAAACTGTAGACAAATATTCCTCATGAACATACATGAAAACATAACAAAATTTTAGCAAATCAAATAAATACAAAGTATAGACAAAATAATTGGGGCTTATACCAGGAATGCAAATATCTTTCACATTCTAAAACTAACAAATATAATTCACCATATATTAACAGACGAAAAACGAAAAACAGTATCACCTCAATATATCCAATGACAATACTTGGCAAAATTAAACACTCATTTTAGATAAAACCTTCAGGAAACTAGCAATAGAAGCAAACTTTCCAGATAAGTGGCATCCGTGAAACCCAACAGCTACCATTGTATTAATGGTGAAAGACTGAGAGATTATTTTCAATAGCAAAACATTGCCGAGAGAAATTATTGAAGACGTGGATAATGGGCAGCTGCACTGTGCTCATGGTTCAGAAGACTTGACTTTGTTAAGGTGTTAATGCTCCTCAGATGGATCTATGGGTTCAGTGGACTACCAATCAGAATTCAGCAGGGTTTTTAGTAGAAATTTGGCAACTGACACTACTTGATTTCATGACTTATCATAAGCTTCAGTTATGAAAACAGTGTGGTATTGGTGTTAAGACAGACAGCAGATAAGTGGATCAGAACAGGCAGTCCAGAAATAGACTCAGACATATATCATCAATTAATTTTCAACCATAGTACCAAGGCAATTTAGTGGGAAGGGGGTATTTTGTCAAAATGTGGTGCCACAATAATTGTACATTCAGAAGCTGAAAAGGAAAAAAGACCTTTGATCCTTATCTCCCATTATATATAAAATTTAAGTAGATCAGAAATCTAAATCTAAAACTCAAAACTATCAAACATTAAGAAAACATGAAACAGTTTCATTAGGCAGAGTTTTCTTAGTTATGTTATTAAAAGCATTCATTGCCCATAAAGAAAAAGTTTATAAATTGTATTTAATTAAATTCAAAAATTTCAAAGTTTTCTGCTCCCTAAAAGATGTTACTGAGAGAATGGAAAGACAAGCTAACGGCTGAGAGAACATTGGCAGATCAGATGTGTCTGGTATGTGAAAGGAACTTCTGAAATGCAATACCATGGAGACCAACAGCATAATTAGCAATGACCGAGGATGTGAGCATCTGCTGCACCAAGAAAACATGTGAAAGGCATGGTGGGGCACACTGGGTTTATCTTGTGGATTGATTTTGCATTTCCCTAATGAAAAATGGTGTTGATGTAATTCATTACCAAGCACTTAATAAAACCTTCACTTTGTATTCCACAGAAAATAGGGAATGAACATCATTGTATGCAGTTTGCATGCACACAACTTTTGAGCGAGGCGCAGGGGAAGTGTCTCATGGTGTTTTGTTCTGCCAGGCAGCCATTTGTACTTGTCCCGAAAACCCGAGGCCTGGCTGTTTTCTCACCCTGTTGGTATTCTGCTGCGATGAAGCTTGGTTTGTAAGTGCACTCACAGCAGAGTGACCATGAGCGTCCAAAAGGCCTATAAACTGTTGAAGAAAATGGTGCAGAGGGAAGAGGGTGCCTTCCAAAGAGACTCCTCTGGTCAGGTTGTCCTCCTCTTCAGGCACATGCTGTCAACCTTCCTCATGTGGCTTTTGTGTAAATGCAAACTATGCTTACTTGCTTTTGAATTACTTACTACTTTTATAAGTTTGTTTTTATTGTCCAGTTGATAATATTTTTCAACCTGCGAACATTGTTTGGTTATCTTTGGTGGGGATGGAATGCATCATACTTTTTCCATTGCAGTCAGTGGACACATTTTTTTCATATAGCAGAAGGGTTTTTAGAACCAAATAATAGCCTATACGAATGTAAGGTGTCTAAGCATCCCCGTGTCCTTGCCAGCACTTGGCAAGGTATTACCAGGCTGTCCTATTTTAGTCCATCTAGTGGGTGCATATTTACATCTATTCTTAGTTTTAATTTGCATACCTTTGATTACTGATGAGACTGAATACCTTTCCACATGCTTATTGGCCATTTGGTCTTCTCTCCTGAAGTACTTTTCCTGGTTTTTTGTCCTTTTTTCTATTTACGTCTATGTCATTTATAAGAGAGAGCAATCAGGCTGGCCCCTGATGTTTCCACAGCAATTTTCATGCTAAATAAAAGTGTAGCAAAGTATATCAAATCTTCAGGAAAGAAAGAATTTTCTCAACAATATATATTCATGCATGGGGGAACTTAGGGGAGTTGATCTTCATGAGCCCTTGCTGAAAGTACTGGGCAGGTAGAACCAAACTCCAGACTGTGCAGCAGGCAAGTGGGGGAAAGGTCAGGGAAGACCAGTGGGGGTCCCTGAATGCATGGTGTCCAGGCTACTGTGAGAACATGGTTCCAGTGTTCAGAGCTTCACATGAAGCATTATGGGGGAGTGGGAGGGCTGAAAGCACATAGAGGGCATGGGGGATGTGGTCCATGGGCTTCCAGGCCAGGAATCAATACCAAGGGACTTAGAACATTACGAGAGGTTCTAGGCAATGGTGCACGTGGGCAGTGGGTGAGGAGTGTCGTGATTCCTGCATCACCCTGGGCGTCATCTGTTTTTCTCTTTACGGACAAGGCCACGAGCAGGCCCTTCCCATACATGCAAAGTGAAGATATTCAGTCAACATGAAAAGGAGCTCAGCCTCACTAAGCACGTTTCACAGTTTTATAGGCTGAAACATTTAAACTGATGAGGTAACATTTGAGAGTGAATCATACAGGCAGTGGCTTGAGAAGCAGCACTCGTGAATTTGATGGGACATAATCTGCAGAGACATGTATGGGCAAGATTTTGGTTAAGTTCTCTGAAATTGAAAAGTACAGTATTTCGTTTCTCATGCCAAGGTACCTTTGAAAATACTGATTTAAAAAAATGCTGCGAGGTATTGATGGTAAAGAAGCTGTCAAGTATAGCCCTGGCGTGCATTTTCCTCCCACATGCAGAGACTATCAGGGAATGTTTACAGGGGCTGAGCCCAGAATTAGTAGTAGAGAGTCTTTTTTTCATTGTTTTTCATTTTTACTCTTTATATTTAAGTATCTACAGTTTTGAAAACCACTTATGGCTAAGAAGTCTTAGTAGTTACTATTGTTAAAAGAATCTGTACTGCCAGGTTTATTCTAAACTTGTAGTATGTTGCTATCATTCAGTCATTGAGGAAAATGAGACAAAATGAAGTAGTTCATCCATCACTTTAGAGAGCAGGGCAGAGCAGAGAATGTTCTGGCATCATTACTACTCCTACATAGAAGGGACACACAATAATAGTCATTAAGGTGCTGAAAATAGCAACGTGTCCTGGATTTACTTATACCCTTGGAAGGAATTCTACCTCCTGCAGAGTGCAGGCCCCAGAGAGGCCAGCAGCTCAGTTGTGCCACCCTGGACCCTGATGCTGCTTCCCCCCAAACCTCATTCTTCCTCTGTTAAGATGGTGATGATTATACCTGCTTCCCAATCTGGCAAATACTGGGTGTAGAAGAATAAATTCAGGAATGCTTGGAAATAATGAAGTGCTTAAGAGTTGTTAGTTTCTCCCCACTTCTGAAGATTTTGCATGTTTTTGAAATCCAGTGCCTATTTCTGGAATGTTGAGCTCATTAGGTTTCATTAGGAAAAAGACTAGATCTTAAGGTTTCACCTGAGTTCTTTAGATGTGTTTGCGAACCTCCTGAATTACTCTGAGGACCTCCTGTATGGTTGGGGCCTGGCAGGCACTGGCATTCCTGCTCACAGAGCTGGGTGCAGGCCAGCCATGGGGGGACCTCCTCAGTGACTTGGTTCCAGTGAGTAGACAGTGGTGCTTGGCTGTGGCCATGGCATACCTGGGCACCTTGTGTCACCAGACCGCAGAGGTGTGCATCCACTACAGCTGAGGTTGCACACTGTTCGGACAGTGTTGGGAGCCCCAAGCCACACTGCAGCTTTGATTTGTGGCCCAGGGCACTCCCCCTGCAGCAAAAGTGAAAGTCTGTGAGGCGGGGAGGCGTGGGGTGGGGAACAGACGGGAGTGCAGAGCCTGAGGCGTGCTGTCTCTGTGGGAGCAGCACTGGGACCTGTGCAGCTGTGTCTGACAGTTGCAGATGGACCCAAACCAAATTTCAGGTGCACATGGTGTCCTGTGAGCCCCCAAAACATGAGAATGGTAAGGAATTGGGCCCTCGTGGGATTCTGTGCCAGAACATTGGCCTTGCTGAGTTCATCATAACATGATGCTTTTCCCTTGCTCTTTGGTAGATGGACAGTGCCCTCACCCTCGGGGGAAGCAGGTGGGCTGGCAGGACGGGCGTCCACAGGCCGGGAGAAGGAGACGCTCCCAGGTACTCTTGTCTACCCCGCTGGTGACCTGCCTGCCCGGCCCCGCCTGTTCCAGATGATGACTCGTGTGACCCCTGCCTCTCCTGGCCTGCTTTGCCCACTTGTGCCCTGCCTGCACCTGACCTCAGTGCCTGTTGGTTGACCCACCTCAGCCCGGATCATGACCCTCCCCCTTGCACCCCAGCTCAGCCAGTCCTCACTTCTGGCGGCTCCTTCTGCTTGACCATTGCTTTTGAGGTTCTCGTCCCGAATTGTATCTTGACTTCCATTAACTTGCTGGGCCGTGGGGCACATCAAGAGGGCCCCTAATGGGGGTCAGCTCCACCTGATGGTATTAATGCCCCCTCAGATGTAGGCCTGTTCTCGTCTGTTCATTTCCTTTAACAGGGAAATTTGTAATGTGATGAGAAAGAATGTCCTTATACTTCAGTAGTGTGATCCTTCATCACCCCAAATGTTGACTCTTTTCACTGGCCACAAGTCATCATCTTCTTCAGTTTAGAAACCAGTGAAGGTAATTAGACACGTCAGAATCAGAATTGATTTGAGGAATAATTCTGATGAGGCTGGAAGAATGGAATTGCCACCACAAATTCAACAGTCACCCAGCAGATAGACCAGACACGTGCTGTGGGCTAGGCCCTGGTCCTGGGCTGGGCAGATCCACGAGCAAATGCACTGAGAGGCTCTGTGCCCAGAAAAGGCAGACTGCACACCTGAGAAACCAGAGGGTGACGAGCTCTGTGGATACAGGGAGCGAAAGCAGGTGTGAGTGAGTGCGGCTACATCTGCAGAGACACATGTGTGATTGGGGTCATCAGTGGTCACAGGGCCATCGGAGCTGGCCTTGTGCGGGTCGTTGTCACAGAGGAGGTGGTATCTAAGTGAAGGCGAGGGGCTGGGCCCGGATGAAGAAGAGCGTTTCATGCAGAGGGAACACTGCTGGGCCAGTGCAAGGGCCTTGAGGGAGGGACGGCAGAGCGGCCGGGGGCCACTGCGGCTGGAGGTGAGCAGCAGGGAAAGGGGTGCAGTGCCGGGGCCTAGCAAGAGCCTTCTCTCTCTGTGGGGAGGAGGAGCCTGGGCTGAGTTAGGGTCTTGTGGAACTGCTCTGGTTTCCAGAGAATAGATACTCAGGTGGCCCAGGGTGGAATTGGGGACCCATGAGGAGATGCTCCCTGAGCCCAAGTGAGAGGTGCTGAGGAGGCAGGGAGTGCTGCTCAGGGTCAGCTGTTTGGAAAGTGGAGTGTGCGTGCCGATAGAGTGCAAGGGAAAGGCTCGATGGACTGCCGGAGAGCGGAGGTTGCAGGAAGGGCAGGTTCAGGAGCGGTTGGCCGAGGATGAGCTCAGCAGACCTTGACAGTCAGGGGACTGTTGAACATACAGCTGGCCTGATAGTCTGGAGCCCTGAAAAGTGAGACTGGAGGTGCAAACCTGGGCAGGGTCCATGCAGCCAACACGCACGTGCACGCAGGAAGAAGAGAAGCAAGGATGGCGTGTGGGTGCCCGCCCCACGTGTGGGGAAGACACAGGCCCCGGGAGGGCATGCAGAGGCCCAGGGGACAGCCCTGCAGGGAGAAAGCCTGAGTCCACCCCTGCCGTCAGCTGAGAGGGAGGACTGAGCTTCAGGCCGGTCAGCAGCTTGAGCGATTCTGGCAGCTGGAGGAGAGACAAAAGCAAATGTGGGGTGCACGGAAGAGAGAAGAGGGCAGAGGAGCCGGCTGCGAGGGCAGAGAGCTGTGAAGAACTTAGTGCAAGGCGAGGGTGCTGGGGGGAAAGGAAGTTCTGTGTGGCTGCCGAGAGGCAGCAGGGCAGCAGGGGCCCTGCTGTGGGCCCATGTGCCTTACCTGGAGGCCTAGGGCGGAACAGGAGGCTGGATGGGATCAATGTGCAAGTTACGCTGTCCTCAGGTACTGCCAGTATTCACTTTTTTTGACAAAATAAAAGGTAATTTCATATAATTCATTTTTAAATTTGTACGGGGGTCTTGGAAGCTTCGGGAGCATAGTGGACAGGGGAGATGGGGCATGGTGCAGGTGAGCAAGCACCTGCCGCCTACGTGGGAGCCCAAGTGGTTTGCGTTTTCTGCGGGTGCGGTGCAGCTGTGCAGCTGGCAGAGGCATGGCGTCACAGCGGCATTGTAACAGTGCTGTGGCCTTTGCTGAGGACACAGGGAGCTATCAGGCATGAGTGCCAAGATGATGGTGACTCCAGGGGTGTGACCGGGAGGAGGACAGGCAGAAGGCTGGGAAGAAAGAGACACAAGCAGGCACACTTGCCTTATATTCAATTAGTGGCAGTTGTAAATTCATGTCTATCAAAGTAGCATACAGCTAAGAAAGTTTTAAAAACACAGTATCAACTAGCTATGCAAAGAAAACCTAAATGGGGGTTTCCTTTTTAAAGAGATCGTGCAGATTGGCACACAGATCAGCCTTCTGCAGTTGGAATAGGATGGTCACCTGAGAGCCTTCATCTACTGTCACCCTGCACCAGAATCCCTCAAGAGACAATTTTTTTTTTTAACAATAGCAATAACAGAAATTCATGATGTGTAGTCAGAGGGTCTGACATTTTGATTGACTGATTATTAAGAGAAAAAAACAAATAATGCTTATGAAATCAAACATCCCGGATGACAACTGGAGAGGCCTAATGTGGGTGAGCTCAAGGCCTAATGTGGGTGAGCTCGGGGTCAGTAGACCGCGGGAGTCTGAGAGGACTGACAGGCAGCCTCTCCTCAGAGGAGCAGGTCAGGCAGCCCCTCCCACCCTAGCAGTGTGTGCAGCAAGGTCCTGGGTATGTGCAGAGTTCCCACTTCGAGTGTGGGCTTTGAGCCAGGGCAGTCAGGCCTGTGTGCCCATCAACTGCCAACTCCAAAGAGGGGCAAGGAGCTGCTCCAGCAGCAAAGTGTTGGCACATGCATTCCAAAGAGCCTCACACTCTCTCCCCTGCAATGTCAGAGGCAGAGCAGAGTGAACAGAACCAGCATCCAGTGTCGGCAAGTTGAGCCTCCCAAGAGCAGAACTGTGGGCATGGCCGAGAGCTGCCATGCATTTGAGGAGAACCAACAGCAGGAGAAAGATGCACCAAACAGGACAGAAGAAGATACTCAGGAAAGAGTTAATGCATGACAAGAACACTCATAAAAGGGAACACTCTTTCTTCAAAAGAAAAAACAGATATTTTAGAAAGTAGAAGTTAGTCAAAATGGAATAGTGAGGATGGCTTGAGTCACACAGAACAGAGAAAAAGAAAGAATCAGTGATTGGACATGTGAGCCAAGGATTATTCTGGAATGCAGACCTGTAGGACTGAGAGCTTTCCCAGAGTGCAGATCTAGAGAACCTAGAGCTCCTTCGGAATGCACATCTCAAGGATGAGAGGTGGAGAGTGTGAGAGGAAAAGATAGGACCACAGCAAGCTCGAGAAGCTCCACTTTCTGCTGTGTGGCAGTCTGAAGAGGAGAGGAGAGTGAAGGCTGGGGACAGGTTGTGCAAATGCACTGGAATGCTTCTCAGAGCACAGAAGGCACCAGGCGCTAAGTGTTGAGCAGGGGCACAAGCAACCAAAACTGCCCTGACACATGGGGCAGAATTTCAGGACATTGCCCCAGAAAAGAAAACCAACAAAATGGTCAACAGGATGAGCAAGCAGCTGCTTGTCAATTGATGCCCAATTTCTCAATGATAGATTTGTATTCTGGGATTAATTAGATCAGTGTCTTCAAAGTATTTGGGAAAAATGATTCTAAACCAGGGATTTTAGACACAGCCAGATTCTAATTGAAATTAAAGGGGTAAGAAAAGGTGTTTTCCGATAGTCAAGGACTTAGAGGTTACCAGCCTAACCCCTGAGACTTTCACAAGTGAAGAAAAAGATGAACATCTGTGAGAGCAGATGGTATTTGACCCACAGTGCTGGGGAGGGAGAGTCCAGCGTGACATGGCACTAGCACTGTTCTGCCAGTGATGGACGTTGGCATGCAGATTAAGGTGGTAGCTGAAAACAGTCTCATGCACATAGAGTTACATAGCGAGCAGGAGACAATTGAAAATCTCCGAAACCTCAGGCCTGCAGTGTGTAATTGTGCATTTGAACACATAAGCAATTGGCCAGGGGCCACCGGTCATAGGCAGGTTATACAACTGCAAATCTTGTGGAAGAAAAACTGAAACAAAACCGAAGGTAGAGTGGAAGGGTAAATACTAGAAATCATGGAAAATGTATGAAATTACATTATGTAGGTATTAGTTCAAATGTGTGTTAAGTTTCTATATTAAAAGGCCAAAACAGATTGTTTTAAAAATGACACAGAAGCAGAAAGTTTATTCATGGGAAAGGTACTGAGTGCCAGTCACTGGAAAGTGGGCCTAGCAGTGTTTGATTCAAGAGAAAGATAAAGGCATTAGATGGGACAAAGACAGTTCATTCTGATGAGTCACAATCCTCTAGGAAGATATGATATTCATTAACTTCTTTGTATATAATTACATAACTGCAAAATTTATGAAGGAAGAACTTCTAAGAATAGGATGTAATGGAAGACTTCAACTGAAAAATTAGGAAGACAAAATTTACACGGTTATGAAGGATTTGAATAGCATTCTTTACAAATTCTGTTATCGTTCCTTCCTTCTTACATACCAACACCTTTCACAAATACATGCCATGTATTGTAAAGAAAATTAATTCTTAATAGCAAAAATCATAAAGTACAGTAAGAATGGAAAACAACCAAAACATGGAAACCAAAATAACTCAGTCGCCATCACTTGAAGATTTTAGAATGCGCATAAACCGTTTTAAAAGAAATGGAAATGAGATGACACTGCATGTCAAAACATGAAGGATGCTGCCAAAACAGTTCTTAGGGGAAAATGTAAAACCAGAAACATTTAAAATAAATGAAGTAGCCTGTGACTCTAAATATTAGAGAAAGAACTACAAAATAATTCAAGACTAAGGAGGAAAAACTAATGAAGATAAAAGGTAGAGGTGAGTA